TTCTAAGGCTCTCTGAAGAGGATAAAATTTTAGTGCAATGGTTCCCAACTCTTTTCAGCACGAGAATGTCACCTTAAGGCAAAAAAAAAAAAAAAAAAAAATGTCAAGGAATCTCATGTAATGCTAGTTCTACTTTAAGTAGACTTTGAGAAAATATATACTAAAAATTCAGCAACAGTAAGAAAAAATAGACAATCTTCTCTTCAAAATGTTTTTGAATAGGTAATGCATGCACTTGATACAAAATACACAAAGTATAAAAAGGAATCCCAGGCAAAGCATTCCCCTCACATCCCTGTCCCTCTGTCACCCACTACCCTTTCCTATAGCCAACTGTTGCTTCAATTTCTTCTACATCCTATCAGAGATAATCTATGCACTGCCAACATCCATACATATATCCTTTTGTAAAAAGAAAAATGGTGGCATATTTTACCACTCTTCTTCACTTTGCACTTTTCTTTTTCACTTAACAAGGTCTTGTAAATAGTTTAAAATTGTTATTTACAAAAAAAGAGAGACTAGCTATTTTTATTCATCACAATAGCTTCTACTACTGAAAAACTGCATTGCACTTTTTAATTCATGGACAATCCTAGTGTGCAATCACTGCATGCCATTTAGAGATCCTCAGCTGTTAGATGGGGAACCACTGGAACAGATTCAATAGCAATAATAGTTTGTGTTAATGTTGGCTCTTACTCTGCACCAGGCATTGTTCTAAACACTTTACACATATTATCTCACTTAATCCACATCCTCTCTATCCTTCTAGTCTCCACTTAAATGTTATCTCCTCAGAGAAGTCTTATCCGAGTAGACCTACCCCCACCCCTTTCCATTATTCTCTATCATTTTATCCTGTTTATTTTCTTTAGGACACCCATCACTGAAAGTAATTAGTTACTTATTTGTCTACTTGTTTACTGCTATCTCTCCATCCACTGTATGAGCTTTGAGAGCATGGACAGTGTCAGTTCACTATAGTATACCCAGAGACCAGAACAGTGCCCCAGTGCTTAGCACATTCCATTAAACTAATGAACAGCTTTATGAGGTAACCTTCTTATAATCTTCATTATACAGATGAGAAAACTAAGCTCTAGATAATGAAATAGACTCATCCCCAAGTGAGTAAGTTACAAAATTGGTTTGAAACTCAGTTCTGTTTTACTTCAGAGCCCACCACGTTCTTCACCATGACACCAGTCTCAGAAGACTGAGTATAGTCTTGGCTGTGGGTGGTCCAGAGCAAGTCACTCTTCCTCTCTAGGCCTCAATTTCTTCAATTGAAAAATGACAGTGTAAAGTTAAATGATTAGATAGATGGTCTTCCCTCTAGCAATGTTTATTGGTTTTTGAGAATGAAAAGAGGAAGGGGCATTGAAGGGTCCAATAAGGTTGGCTTGAGGCCTTTAAGAGATCTGATTTTCAATTATTTTCTTCCTTCCCTCCTTCCTTCCCTGGAGATTTGCTGATCCTTATTCTTTTACTGGCTCTGTGCAAACGGATACAAAGATAGGGATCCAAAGGCTCATAGGACATAAAAAACCTGTTGCCATCATGGTTATGAACACTTCTTAGTCATAACCAAATACCTTGAGGAAATGAGTCACTGGGTCTGGGGCTCAGTCTTGAGGGACACTAAGGTCAATTGGCATAATAATCCACAAAGACAATATTCTCTATCCTATTTTGGTGAGTAGTGAATGGGGTCTTAAAAGCTTGTGAGTGATCTAAGGTGCAACCAAATGGTCTCCCCCACATCTGGAGCAAAGAAGACACAGGGAATCAATTAGTCCAAAGGACTAATAGACCATGTGAACCATAGCATCTATGACCCTGAGACTAGAACTAGATGGTGCTTGGTTAGCACTACCAACCACTCTGAAAGGGATCACAATAGAAGGTCCCAAATAGAGTGGGAGAAAAATGTGGAACAAAACTCAAAATCATTAAAAAAAAAAAAAAAGACCAGGTTTACTGGTCTGATAGAGACAGGTGGAACCCCGAAATACTATGGCCTTTAGACACCCTTCAAGCTGGGAACTGAACTCACCCCTGTTAGTCAACTTTCAGCCAAATGATAGACAGGCTTATAAGGTGAACAATAATACCAGGAAGGTACACACTCATTAGAACAATCAACCATTTGAGATTAAAAGGGCAGCATTTGCCCAGGGATAAAGCTCAGAAGGCAGGAAGGGATAGAAAAGAAGAATGAAGGAAAATGGTAAACACAGGGAGGAAGTGGGAAAAGTGCTGTTACATTGTGGGGATTGCTATCAATGTCACAAAACATGTACGAATTGTTGAATGAAGAACCAATTTGCTCTGTAAACGTTCACCCAAATCACAATTTAAAAAATAAAAAATACCAGGTGCCATTGAGTAAATTCTGACTCATGGTGACCCTATAGGACAGAATAGACTGCCCCATAGGGTTTCTGAGGTTGTAAATCTTTCCAGAGGCAGACTGCCATGTCTTTCTCCCTCAGAGCAGCTGGTGGGTTTGAACCACAAACATTTTGGTTAGTAATTGAGCACTTAGCCATTTCCCAACAAAGGCTCCTAATAAGGCATAGGTTTTGCCATTAAGGCTCTTGGTCCTATGGAGGATGCAGACCCCCTAAAAGCTGCTAGAAGAACAGTATGGACCAGTGCCATGATAGTAGCATATATGAAGCTCATGGTAGCACAGAGGAGGAAAGGATTAATCCCATCATATGTGTGTATGGTGGTGGGGATGGTGGTGGTGTTTAGGAAGGAGAGAGAAGGTATAAGATATAACACTTTTGCTTGGTCTTGTAGGAAGAATAATTTCCAAGTGGACAAGGTGGAGGTGAGACTTCCTGGTTACTAATAACATCACGTACAGAGACACAGTACAATGTAATGAAGATTGCTAGTAAGGGGGCTGGGCTGTCAGGGTAGGCAACTGGCAAGGTAGAGAGGCTTCATCCTGAAGACTTTGGACTTTAACCCTGAGAGCAGTGGTGTGGCCAAATCATATTTATATTTTATTTTTAGAAACATCACTCCGGCAGTGGTCTGACTGAAGGAGTGGGATGAGGCTAAAAGTGTGGAGGCCAGCTAGGAGGCTTTGCAGGAGTCCGGATGGGAGATGATGAGGACCTGGGCTTTACCTATTTGCAGCAGGGTCAAAGAAGAATTAGATTAGTCAGAGATTTTTAAAACATAGAGCCAAATGACTTGGTGATGGATTAGATGGAGGAGTATAAGATGGAACTAAGGGACTTATTGGAATGAATTAAAACAGTGACATTAATAGGAGTTGGATTATTTCTCAATAATAAGGTTGGCTTTGGAGATATTGAGTTTGAGGTGTCTCTTTGAGAGCCAGTAGGAAAGGTCTAAAAAAAAAAAAAAAAAAAACCCACCAAACTCACTGCAGTGGAGTCAGTCCTGACTCATAGTGACCCCTCCTTGGGTTTCCAAGGCAGATATCACTATGGAAGTAGATTGCCCAACTTTCCTTCCAGGGAGTGGCTGGGGGGGTTGAACTGCCTGCCTTCTGGTTAGCAGTCAAATGCCATAGGCACTAGGCCACCAGAGCTCCAGCAGGAAAGGTCTAGGAGCTTCATTTCCAGAAAAGCAGCCTAGCCTAAGCCAGACATCCTGGGGCCAGTTTCCTGGGGAGAAATGAAGAAGACACACAGGGATAGAATTCTCAGCGATATCACTGCAATTTCTGAGCCCAGCTTACCTCAAGGGTAAAGATCGGGGAGTAATAACTCTCTGGATCTTCATTGGTAGAAGGAAGATAGAGTATGGATTCTTACTCTAAAAGACACCAGCTCCCATGGAATAAACGGTCCTGTCTCCTGTAAGCACCAGATTTTAAAAAAAGAAACCATTTCCCCTGGAGCAGCCTTTGGCCTGCAAGAGGGTCTGGCTCTGGCTCTCTGGTGGGGTGGACTCTTAAGAAGTTTCCCCACCCCTCCTCCCTCTGTTGCTGTTATGTGCCATCGAGTCGCACCCGACTCAAGGCGACCCCTCCTTGGGTTTCCGAGGCAGTATCACTACGGAAGTAGCTTTCCCAATCTTCCTTCTGAGGAGTGGCTGGTGGGTTTGAACCGCCAGCTTTCTGGTTAGCAGTCAAGTACCTTATGCACTATGCTACCTCCCTCCTCAGGGGGTGGCTTTTTAAGAGAATAAAGCTTGTATAACGTATAGCCTGGTCCCTCTTGGCTACTAGGAAAACAAACAACAACAACAACAACAAAATCTAAGTCTTGGGGACTCCCAACCACCACCCCTAGTTTTAAAAAAAAAAAAAAAAAAATCAAACCCACTGCCATCAAGTGGATTCCAACTCATAGCAGTCCACATTGGGTTTCCAAGGCGGTAAACTACCGAAGTAGATTGCCTCATCTTCCTCCCAGGGAGCAGCTGGTATGTTTGAACCACTGACCTTCTGGTTAGCAGTCAAACGCCTTACACACTATGCCACCAAGGCTCCTTCCGGGTTAGGTGTCCTCAATTCCAAAAAATGACTTCAGGTTGTCCCATCTCTTTCCAAAATAACCCGAGGTTGGGATCCTCCCCCCACCTCAACTTGATTGCCCAGAGCTCCTCAAGCGGAACCAGGGCTGAGCACGTGGACTAAATTAGGAGCAGGCCTCCAGGGTCGTCCTAAGGAAGAAGATGGTCCCGGAGGCAAGAGGCCGCCACCCTGGCCATTGCAACCTCCCTGGCTCCTACAGCCGGTGGTCATTTTCCCATTCCCATTCCCCAGTTTATAGGATGGTGTCGGGACCCGTTATCTCTACTCAGCCCTCTCCTAACTCTAGACCCCACTGTCATGCTAATAGATTTGCAAAGGGCAGCGCGATTCCTCCCGCGCCCCTGCGGGCCCTGAGGCCCGGCACTAAAGCAGTGCAGTCCCAAGCTTCCCCTGCAGAAGCCGCGCTCCTCACTCGGTCCGGGGGTAGAGGGGGCGCGAGAGAGCAAGTGGGCGGGCGTCCCATCCTCCGCAACCTCCTCCAGGTCCTGGCGCGCAGGGTGGGAGCGCTGCGCGGCGCCGCGCTGCGCATCGCGGCCCGCTCGCCGCCTGCCCCCTGCCCTAGCTTGGCCATCTCCCCGGACTGCCGGTGGAGGGCTGCAAGGCGCTAACGTTACGCTGTTTCCGGTTTTCCAGCGGGCTCTGTTTCCCCTCCCAAGGCGGCGGCGGCGGAGCGGTGGAGCCCCCCAAATGGCCTGGCCAGATGCGGCAGGTTTGCTGCTCAGCGCTGCCGCCGCCGCCACTGGAGAAGGCTCGGTGCAACAGCTACAGCGACAGCAGCAGCAGCAGCAGCAGCAGCAGCGAGAGGAGCAGCAGCAGCGAGAGGAGCAGCAGCAGGAGCAGCAGCAGCAGCAGCAGCAGCAGCAACAGCAGCATCTCCCGTCCCGCTGCGCCCCCAGAGCCGCGGCCGCCGCAACAGCCGCAGCCCCGCAGCCCCGCAGCCCGGAGAGCCGCCGCCCGCTCGCGAGCCGCAGCCGCCGGCGGCATGAGGCGCGACCCGGCCCCTGGCTTCTCCATGCTGCTCTTCGGTGTGTCGCTCGCCTGCTATTCGCCCAGCCTCAAGTCGGTGCAGGACCAGGCGTACAAGGCACCCGTGGTGGTGGAGGGCAAGGTACAAGGGCTGGCCCCGGCCGGCGGCTCCAGCTCCAACAGCACCCGCGAGCCGCCCGCCTCGGGTCGGGTGGCGCTGGTGAAGGTGCTGGACAAGTGGCCGCTCCGGAGCGGGGGGCTGCAGCGCGAGCAGGTGATCAGCGTGGGCTCTTGTGCGCCGCTCGAGAGGAACCAGCGCTACATCTTTTTCCTGGAGCCCACGGAACAGCCCTTAGTCTTTAAAACAGCCTTTGCCCCCCTTGACACCAACGGCAAAAACCTCAAGAAAGAGGTTGGCAAGATCCTGTGCACTGACTGCGGTGAGTGCCCCCCTCCCTCAGCTAGAGAAAGGGGGGAGGGGCGAGGTGGTGGAGAATGGGGGTGGGGCGGGGAGGTGCTGCAGGTGCTGGGGCCTGGCAGCGGCTGTCCGCTGGGGGGTGGGGCCGCCCCAGGGCAAGGCGCTGGGCTGGGTGGTGAGGGGGTTGCGGTAAAGGAGAAAGAGGACCTGGCTCAAAGTGTGCCAGGGGTGGGGGGCGGGGGGAGGCTCCCGTCTGTGGCAGCAGGGATCTGCGGCTGATGTATGGCATGTGGGGCTGGAAAGCTGCCATCATAGCCCAGTAGCTGTAGGAAAAACGGAGAGGTCCAGGCGGTCCTGGCCCGAGGCTCAGTGAGTCAGGAGTGACCCTCGGAGGCCTGGCCCTCTCGGCTCCCACGGGCCTGGCTGGCCCAGGCTGGCAGGGTCTGCAAGGAGCAGCTGGGCAGACTCCCAGGCTGTGAAGGCCTTCGCTTACAAGTTCTCCTAGGGAATGATCGCCCCCGCCCCCTCTTTCCTCTCCCGGTCTCGCTGCTCTGCTTCTCGACACCGCTGGCGCAGGCAGAGTTGGACTTTTTCTGCTACTGTTTTCCGTCCTCCCTGTGGCTCGTGCTTTTATTCTCTGTCGCGACTGGCCTGTCTTAGCTAAGGGAAAGGCAGAGGCTTCTCTTAATCTCCAGGGCTAGCGAGCCAACACCTCTTTGGGCTGTTTCTGGGAGCTTTTACTAGGTCTGTTGTTTGTGATGATGATGAAACAGAGTAACTTACTTCTGCTGAACGAGGTAAGTTCAGCTCTGATAGCTTACTGGCAGGTTGTATTGACCGCATCTCTCATCTTCACGGTGTTGGGTGCTGCACAGGAATGCAGGTGATTAGAAACAAAACACTCTGAAATCTGTACATCTGTGCAGCTGGAAATGGAGACTTCCATGTCGGAAGTTAAAAAGAATGCCCATTTAAAAGAGCTTTTTACCGCCCCCCCCCTTGTCCCTGATGTACTTACTTCTCAGTAGGATTTTTCAAACTATCTTGTCCCCGCACTGGAGTATTTGTGTTAGCCTGTCTTGAGCTTATTCGTACTGGGATTTCATTTTGTCTCAATGAAGGGTGAGCTTGTTACATGTAGTGTGACTCTGTGACAGGTGCCTTGGACTCTCATAGAAGTTGGTATGTTTACTAGTTTACCAGCTGATACTGGATAGTGTGGACAGGCTTTGAGTATCAAAGAATGTATACCAGTTCATGGAAGTTTTGCTGCCTTCTTTATAGATCAATGCCTTTGATTGTTGGAAGCTTTCCTCCTTCCATGCCCTTCAAGAGGCAGATTTCAGGAGGTTAGTGATGGGAGCATATCTAGGCACTATGTTAAACTGTGATCACTTTATTTTAGTTAAAAGAATCTTGACCGTGCCTTAATTAAGGAGGAAAACAAACTTTGGGGACAGCAGCAATGTCAGCTGTAACATTATTCTGAGGAATATTGTTGACTGCTCTTTAATGTTGCTATTTATGCTTGGAAATGTTTTATGATGACAAGTTGAAACCAGTTACCCTGATTTTTTTTTATTCTGTTAAATATTTTCTCTGACATCCCTTGGGGAGCTGTCGAACTGTACTGTGTAATGGGAAATAGATAGTAAAGACATTTATTGAACCTTGTCCAAGGACAGCTTTTGTTTTGGTGAGGAGCTTCTGCATATGCACAGTACACATCTCCACATAAACCCTAGTCTGGTCCACTGAGGACCTGATGGCCATCACCAGATAGAGACATAGAGTAACAGGCTTCTCTGTTCCCTTATCCCCCTCCTACTTTCTCTCTCCCCCCAATACAATATGCTCTATCATTTGTGCCTTGTTTGTTTTAATGAGTATTTAATAGTTGAATATGGAGACCATGAAAGATTTGAGGCTCAGAAATAAGAGTCTGCTTTTAGGTTAGGACCATCTGATATTAGTAAAATAGAATATGTAGGTTAGCTCTCAAAAAGATAAATTTAGGACTAAAATCACTAACAGAGAAGGCCCTCACATATCACAGATTACCAAGGGGTAGTGATGTGTATGGAAGTAAACACACTATTTAATCTATTTAATATTTTATTGTGCTTTAGGTGAAAGTTTACATTGCAGGTTAGTTTTCCAATTAATAATTCATACACAAATTGTTCTATGACATTGATTGCAATCGCCACAATGTGTCAGCACTCTCCCTGTTTCCTGCCTAGGTTCCCCATTTCCATCCTTCCGGTTTCCTTGTCCCTCCCTGTCTTCACATCTTTGGTTTTGGGCAAGTGTTGTCCTCTTGGTCTCCTGTAGCTATTATTCTAAGAAGCACATTCTTCACAGGTGGTGGTGTTTGTTTCATAGTCCTAGCTATTCTTTGGCTGAAAGGTGGCCTCTGGGAAAGTCTTCAGTTTCAAGTTAAAAGGTCATTTCAGGGCAATAATCTCAGGGTTCCTCCAGTCTCTTTCAGACCAGTAGGTCTGTTTTGTTTTGTTTTTTAATTTGAATTTTGTTCTACATTTTTAACCCATTCTAACCAGGACCTTCTATTGTGCTCTTGGTCAGAGTGGTCAGTAGTGGTGGCCAGGCACCATCTAATTCTTCTGGTCTCAGATTAGAGGAGGCTGTTAGTCCTTTGGGCTCATTGCTTCCTTGAGTCTTTGTTTTTCTTTGTTCTCCTTTGCTCCAGCTGGGAAGAGACCAAAGTTGCTTCTTAGATGACTGCTGTCAAGCTTTTAAGACCCCAGATGCTACTTACTCACCGTACGAGGATGTAAAATATTATCTAAGTAGTTTCAATTACTGTGCCCCTTATGTAGTCTATTAGGAGCCCTGGTGGCCTAGTGCCTAGGGCATTTGACTGCTAACCAGAAGGCTGGTGGCTCAAACCCACCAGCTACTCCTCGGAAGGAAGGTTAGGCAATCTACTTCTGTAGTGATACCACCTCGAAAACCCAAAGAGGGGTCACTGTGTGTCGGATCTGACCCAACAGCAGTGAGTTTGGTTTTTTTTTTTTTTTTTAGTTTATACAGTCTATTACGTATATGAGTATATGTGCAGCATTTGCAAGTATGTATGTAGAACTATCCACTACCATACCTATATATGTATGCTGGTATACACCACTCCCTTACTACCTCCCTCACCTATTAGCATACATATTTAAGTAGGGAGCTACTCACGGATTCTTCTTAGTTATTACTGCTGTTGCAGGATTATATATGTTACAGCATTTACTGTAGTTGTCCTCTATTCTTGCATACCTCTCAGTGTCTTCCTTTACCTTGGTCCCGTTGGGCTGACTTCCTGGAAGTAAACATTTTGGAATGCAAAACATTTTCCTTTGGATTGATAGTGTAAATATATGTCAGTTTGGGGATTAGAAATTAAAGGCCATATTTGTGAGAGGAGACGTGTAGAACTGGCACTAATATGACAGGAGAATATAAATTGCATTTTCTTATTTTCTACCATGTGGTTAAAACAAACATGCAATGGTAACGGTATATTAAACAAGGAAACAAAATCATCCTAACTAACCACAACACTTTCCTTGTGCTCAGCAGGAAATAACTAACAAATTCATTTTCTGTTTTCTACCTTTAAAGAAAGCCCTCTGGGCCACAGGGTCATTGGGAACATTTTCTCCTTGGAGCAGATTTTCCCATTGCAAAATAGGGAAACTGGCACTTGGAAACTGTCATCATGGTGATTATTTGAACAATTGAGGTTGAATTGTTACCTTGTTTAGGCAGTCTCAGCTGAGTGTCTGGATTCTGAGTGGTGTCGTAGTTCCTAGGGATTTCATCCAGAATGCTGTATTTTGGGAGACTAGAACTTTGGGATAATGTACTGCAAGGAGAGAGGAAGGTGGTGCAGTGGTTAAAGTGCTTGGTTGTGAACCAAAAGATCAGTGGTTCAAAGCCAGCAGCTGCTCTGTGGGAGAAAGATGTGGCAGTCCACTTCTGTAAAGATTACAGCCTTGGAAACTCTGTGGGGGCAATTCTGCTCTGACCTGCAGGGTCATTGTGAGTTGGAATCAATTCCACAGCCGTGAGTAGTGGGTTATGGAGAGAGATTGTACTAAAAGTTAGTATATGCCTTGATAGCATTAAAGCAGGAGTCATACTGGGCCCTTCTGGAAAGGTCCTCATAAATGGCTAATTTCAATTTAACTGTGAAATGTTGACCTCAGGATTGTGATCTAAGGTGGGGAGTGGTAGATAGAGCATTTGCTAGAACAGCAATCTGCCATAGGGGCATTTTTATAGATCTAACAGGAGCTCTGGTGGCATAGTGCTTAAGGCATTTGACTACTAACCAGAAGGCTGGCCGTTCAAACCCACCACTAGCTGCTCCGCAGAAGGAAGATGGGGCAGTCTACTTCTATAAAGATTTACAGCCTCAGAAACCCAATGGGGGTTGCTATGAGTGGGAATAGACTTGATGGCAGTGAGTTAGAATGTGTATTAAAGGACCTCTGGTGGTGTAGTGGTTAAAGCATTCGGCTGCTATCCAGAAGTTCAGCAGTTTGAATCCACAAGCTGCTCCAAGGGAGAAAGATGAGGCAATCTGCTTCCTTAAAGATTAGAGCCTTGAAAACCCTATGGAGTGGTTCTACTTTGTTCTAAGGGGTCACTATGAGTTGTAATTGGCCCTATGGTAGTGGGTTTTTGGGTTTAATGTGTTCTATTCATCCAAAAATACTATCTCTGGTGGTAAAGAGTTGAGTAAAATGTTTGCATGTCTAACAAGAGTGCACGCATTGAGGTATGTTCAGTGCCTTCTATAGAAATGAGAGGAAAAAGAATTGGAAAGGCCTTACAGGGATTAGGAGCTCTGCACTGTGCTATGAAAGCATCTTGTTCTGCAAATAGTCCTGCATTTTTAAAGAAGGTTGCATATATTTTGGTATAATTACACCCTATCTTGCTGCTTTGTTATATCCATGTTCTTAAGTTGTTCCCGTATGGAATAAATTCAGTAGACAGCATTTGGTG